GCAGGAAGACGCCCTAAACCCTAAATCCTAAACACTAACCCCTAAATCCGAAACCCTAAATCCTAAACACTAACCCCTAAATCCTAAACCCTAAACCCTAAATCCTAAAGCCTAAACCCTAAACCCTACTTTTGGGGTTCCGGTAAGAATCGGGGCCAGCACGGCATCCCAGACTCGGCAGCCATGTCCACGACAGACGGAAGCACACTGCCATGCTGGACCTGGCACTCCTTGGACCTTGGGTTTAGGGTTTAGGGTTTAGGGTTTAAGGTTTAGGGCTTAGGGTTTAGGGTTTAGGGTTACTGTCATGGGTTCCTTTGCTACTACTTGGGGGCCCATGGGACTTAGTAACTACTTATACTTGGGCTTATAACCCTACTTATAATTGGGGGTAACCCCTATAAGCCCATTTAGAGGACTATAATTAAGGTTATAAGCCCAATTATAAATATTTACAAAGTCCCATGGGACTCCAAGTAGGGTTTAGGGCTTAGGGTACGAACTTTCATGGATTTCCTTACTACCCCGTCTATACTACCCTCCCCTAGGTTCCCCCCTACTTAATCTTTTTCAAGGGGAACCCAGTGGTGGGTAGTATAGAGGGGGGTAGTAGGGGAACCCATGATACACGTGCTGAAGGGAGGGTGGGGAAGTGGATCCTCAGAACAATTCCTATCTAAACCCTATATATACCCCAATTATTTATAGTAGTATATATGTATTCATACCCTTATAATCATCCCGATATGTCCCCTAAATTCCTGTATAATCCCATAAACATATAAAAACCCTATATTAGTCACCAGATTCCCCCTTGAGCATAGGGTAAGGCACCTTAGCCTCGAGGCTGCCAATGGCCCCATGGAGCAGTGGCGACCGCTCCTGAACCCAGAGCCTGACTGTACGATCATCGGAGGCTGTGAGCAATGCTGTGGCGTCCAGGAAGAGCCGTGTCCTGAAGATAGCTCTTAGGTTTGGGGTTTAGGGTTTAAAGGGTTTAGGGTTCAGGGTTGAGGGCACCGCTTTGAAGGAAATAGCAGGTAGCCCAGGAATTTCATACCTGTATCTCAACTTCGTAGCACTTACCCCCTAAATAGTATCTAGAACCCACTTAAACTGCAGGTAAGTGGAGCGACGTACACATGGTAGTTTCCATGAATAGGGGGACCCCAATGTAGACCCCAAAATACTATAATCCTTATTATGGGGATCCCCAAAAAATGGTACCCCTAATTTTTCGGAAACCTGAATCCCCATCTACACATATATAACCCCAGTGTCCATTTCATTTTCCACTTTCCTTTCCATGTAATTCTCCATTATTGTGGGTAATGTATCCCTAAACCCTAAACCCTAAACCTAAACCCTAAACCCTAAACCCCAATACCCCTGGGGTCCTGAAGATGGCTCCTTCGTGACCTGAAAGCTGCAGCGGGTTCTGGAGCTCGCTCACGGAGTCGGGCCCCACAGTCCACAGCACCAGAAATCCATCGAAGGTTCCTGGATGTAGCCATGGCGGAAGAGAAATGGAAACTACTAGAGACAGGGTTCTATAGAATTTGTGCGATGATGGAAAAAATCCTTTGTTGATATTCTATATATTTCTATATAGAAGTCGACCATTCCTCAAATCAGAGAGGTCCAACAATGGCTACCTGCTGAGGGTATGGGTCTCGAAAGTAGTTACGAGGATCTGCAACGCGAGACCTGATGAGACGCAAACTCATGCTCTATGAACACCGAAACACCACAAAAGAGGTAAGTCCCTCATCCTAATTATCCCTAAGCCCCATACGCGTCACATGCCTAAACCCAAAGCACCCAAGCCCCTCAAACCCCTAAACCCTACACCTCAAACCCCTAAGCCTTCAAACCCTAAACCCCCAAAGCTCAATTCACGGCTCCGCAAGCGCAGAGCATGCTTCCGGGTGCCGTGGCCAGAGGCAACAGCTGCAGCGAGGCTGAGTACAGGAAAGATACTTCCTCAGTCAAAGGGATTGAAGGGGGTTTAGATCCCCTTGTATGGACGGAGCTGGCTCTTTCTTCCTTATCAGCACCCCCAATAGCCAGTGGTGGAGAAAGACAGCCTAGGATACCACCCAAAACCAATCATAAACCCCTCGGTGGATACTGAAAATCTTGCATGACCTGATGTACCTTAAACCTTAGGAATTACGGCATTCTGGTATACCAAAGTTATGCAGGATTTTCAGCGTTAACAATATGAACCCTATGAACTCGGTAAGCTCTTAAAGACAAAGGCTACGGCTTACCTGCGAAGCCCTAAACCCTAAGCCCTCATACCCCTATAATGACCCTATTCTAACCCAATAGCCCTAACACCCCTAATAACCCCGATGGGAGGTTGGTGGGGCTAATTTGGTGGCTCCTAGATTCAGCGGCTCCCGCAAGTCTGGCTTGCCTTTGGAGGGATTGGATTTGAAGTTTAGAGTTGAAGGCTTATTGGGGTTATGTGGGAATGATGGAAAAGAAAATGGAAACTACTATCGTATATTGGGGTAATATTGGGATATGGAAAGGAAAATGGAAACTACATAGTATATTGGGGTTAGGGCTTAGGG